AACATTCTTAAACCTAATATATACCTAAATGCGCTGTTTTACGATATGACCATATCATTAGATTTTACAAAACAAAGAACTGGTCTTCTCGCCCGCTCGCAGTTGCCTAAAGAAGTTATGGAGAAATAACCGTAACTTAATGCGCTTTGTATTAGTACCGTAGTACTCTTCTAGTACTATACATAGAAGTCTGACTATTTCGTCTATTGAAATCGTAAATAAATTAACAGCCGCCAGTTGGCGGGAACCTAATCGCCGATGGCAAAGAGTATAGTAATTGTCCTATACAGGGACGATGGATTGTTGCTCTTGTATTAACAAAAGTATTAATGGCCTGCGCACACTGGCGGACGACAGGGGAGAGCATCGAGGAGGATTGCTCTATCCGCCAGAGTACACTGACAAGAAAAATTATCTGCGATACCGCGAGCATTTGCCAGCTTACCGGGACATCAGACGATATGCCGCGCCATCCACGGAGTAGCAACTATACGCCTTTGATTATTTTTCTAGCAACCACGCAGTCGAAAACTTGCTTTTGAAAGAGTGTGCGCGGCACACTCCGGCGCAAACCGCCGCCTCCCGCAGCGGTATCCTCCAGCGTGCTCTTCGATGCTCCAAAGAAAACTACTGCGATGCTCCAAGGTCGATCACTGAACATTGAAATATATATCCTACTTCGATTGGATAAGTATTAAATTCAATTAATAAATTAAAATTCTCTGCCGTCCCGTCTACCAGTCTGCGCAGGCCATAATGGTTTGAAGTGGATTTTGATACGTAAATTACCTTAAATTAAGTATCTACGTTGTGTATTAAATATCTGCGCAGTGAAGCATTAGTCGAAACGATGTAACATGTGCTTCGATAATGTTACAAATCTCAAGTTTTTTTATCCGTTTAGTCGGCTAGAGATACTGCTGTCATCAACTGCTAAGCTGCCGTCAAAATTCCCATAAATCTATGCAATATTTAAACAAATTATTATAAATAATAATTTGTTATTACTTAACACTGGCAAAAGTATAACCGTACAAGTCCATAACCAAATAAAAAAAGCCAGTTGTCATATATGAATTATGAAAACAGTCGCAAATATGGAGGGTGGAATTTTGGCGGGAACTTGATCGGCGGCGGCTTGCTGCTCCTGTGTTATTGTTTAAATAATGGTTTAAAGTGGACTTTGATATATAAAAGTGGTGCGATTTTGTGTATTAAGTGTCTGCGCATGTGAACTATTAGTGGAAACTGTGAAACAAGTGCTCTGATGGTGATGGATTCTCAAGATAAGCTGTTTGCTTGCATAGGCGCCTTTAGATACCATCGCCAACTGTCAGCTGCCTGCTGGCTCAAGTTGCCGTCAAAATCTCCCAAGGGCTGCACAATGTGACGCATCAACATATTGTGAAGCAGTGAACTATGAAGGATAATTACACATGAAGACAAGGCTTGGGGAAATTATAATAAACCGAATAAAAATACTCAAGACTTGGCCTAAAGGTCTAGATGCCAGGCCATAAACTCCAAAAAAAAATATGGAGGGTAGAGTAGGGTAGAGGTGGTAGAAGTGAGGTGGAGGAGAAGGACAGGCTGATCCATTTTTATATGAAATTCGAGAAATTTGCACACAATCATCATTTTGTCAAGTGTGGGTTGGGCGTCTAACAATAAAGCGAGTAAAAGATATCGTGTTCCTTTTCTTAAAAATTTAAAGAAAAATATATATTATTATATCGGAAGTGGTCGTAACGTGGTCCTTCACTGCTGGCCGGATGAGGAAGCTCAAAGTCGCTCAACGAGCTATGGAGAGGGCTATGCTCGGAGTTTCTCTGCGTGATAAACTCAGAAATGAGGATATCCGCAGTAGAACCAGAGTGACCGACATAGCCCAACGGATTAGTAAGCTGAAGTGGCAATGGGCCGGCCATATAGATCGAAGAACCGACAACCGATGGGGAAGAAAGGTTCTCGAGTGGCAGCCTCGTACCGGCAGGCGAAGTGTTGGGCGTCCCCCCACTAGATGGATATGCAGGAAGTCGATGGATGCAGGTGGCTCAGGACCGTGCTTTGTGGCATTGTGGATGTGCATTGTGGAATTGTGAAGGGCTGTAATGATGATGATGATGATGATGATATCGGAAGAAACTGAAAATGTTAATTCTGTGTTAAACTTTCTTTTTTATTTACTCCTTAGGGTATAATTACATACATATTACTCTGAGATTTACACAATTAATTGATTAAAATTTAATTATTAAATATAAGCTAAATTGTATCAAAAGAAGTCATGAATAAAAAAAAAAGAAAAAAATTACATTTGTTTGTCAATGTCTTTCATATTAAAAAAATATTTCCTGAAATTTATTCGGATTTATTTCATATGTTTAGATTTTAATATTTATTATTGCTTTTGTGTTCTGTGCATATGTGGGATAAGATGAAAGTGTCCAGCTGTAAGCAGTAAATACAAAAACCTTCCAGAATGGTGCTAGCGTAGATAGATACAGGATATGGTATTAATGTAGCTGTTGTAGATAGATTGTAGTGCTGTGAAGAGATAAAAAAATAATATTTTTGGTGACTAAAATAGTTATTTACAGTACAGTATAGAAAACTTCAACTATTCATGTATTTCATATATTTTTTTAAATATAACCTAAAATAACTACTGTGAAAAAACGTGGAGAGTGATTTTATTTTTGTTAACTTCAAATACGTTTAGTATTTTTTCTAATGTAATGAACTGTTATAAAACTTTTTAAAAACGAATCCAAATTAATTATTCTATTTTTAAAATTTACTCTGCTGCTATTGTATCGCCACCCTAATTTAACACATTTGGGCGGACGCTTTTTAATACAAAGAGATAGTCCTCCTTATATTTATCCTCCATAGTCGCAAAACAACAAAATATTAGACTTCATATCCATTGATAATAATAATAATAATATTTATTGAGACCAAAAACATTTTAACATGAACATAGTTAGCATTAACATCCGCAGTAGTCGAGGACTGTGTCCCACCAGCTCCCACCTCACATAGACAGGCGTTTCCATTTAAAAGTAGTACATAATAATATTTATAGTGACTTATTCTAAGGACATAGCAAAATATTCTAAGTAATTTGTGTGTGTTTGTGTGTGTGTGTGTTTGTGTGTGTGCGTGTGTTTGAGTGTGTTTTTATGTGCGTGTATGTTTAAGAACTATTGCTCAATTAAAGCTTCTACCTCGTCATAATCAAGGCTTAGTAGCCACTCATTCACCAGGGCTTTAAATTTATTTAAAGACAAAGGGTAAATGATTAATTTTTATTTATTTTATTGTAAAGTAACGGAGCAATAAAGTCATAATGTTGTTTTACCACTATAAGCCCACACCTCACCGTAGAGCATACTTTGTCTTTTCTTCTTATATTCTGTGAAATTTTAGGATCTTATCAAGAGTTTTGTGTTTGCGAAGAATCGTATTTAATATAAATAATTTACGAACGGAAAGAACTTCCCAATATTTAAATATAAGTTTAGTTGAATACCTAATTGGCTTGGAAGCCATTACTTTCAATACAGCCCTTTGTGCCCTTTCGAGCTGTATAATTTTAGTTTTTCTGGCAGCACCCCAAATCGTAATGCAATAATTGATAATGGATTGAGCTAAGGCAAAATACGCAGTCATAAGAATCGCCACGTCAGCACCAACACGCAGCTTGCTAAAGACAAATATAAGTTTCCTAATACGTGACGTCATACATTTAATGTGTTCACTCCATGACAACACACTGTCGACCACAATACCTAAATACTTAATGCTGTGCGTGCGCAATATTGAAACACAGGTACAAGGAATTTGCGTATTACATTTGTGAACATATATTACGAAAGTTGCGTCTGGTTGTGACGAAAGCCTAGGGGCAAATGTAATAAACTTCGTTTTGCTAAGATTTAATGTCAGCAAATTTCGAGACAGCCATGTCATAACTGAGTGCAACGCGGACTCGGCATATGATCTCGCCTCCTCCCAACTCTGTCCATGAACAATGATTGCCGTGTCGTCAGCAAATTGACACAGATCGTTTATATATATCAGGAACCGAGTCGGACCAAGGACACTGACTTGCGACACACCATATCCAATCAATTCACCACGACTAGTGTAATTTCCAATCGTAACATATTGTTCTCAATTACAAAGGTAGCTCTTAAACAATTCCAGTACAATGCCCCTAATTCCAACACGTTGTAATTTGGAGAGAAGAATGGAGACAGATAGTGTGTCGAAAGCCTTAGAAAGGTCAAGAAATATACATAACGATTTTAATTTACAATTAAGATTTTTTAACAACAGTACTGGTTAGATCCAATACCGCATCTTCTGTTTATTTACCAGGTCTAAAGCCGAATTGGTTTGGTGCGATAAGATTTTTAGAGTGTAAGTAATTTATTAGTCTAGTATTTTAAAGTTTTTCTAGGATTTTAGATAAAACAGGTAGTACTGAAATTGGCCTGTAATTATCGACACAGCACTTGTCTCCACTCTTATAGATGGGATGATCCAGAGCTTTTCGAACACTGATGGAAATGTGCCTGTTGAAAAACATAAGTTGAACATGTACTTTAGAACTGGTATCAGAACATGTTTCGATTCTTTAATTAAGGTGGTTGGAATGCCATCATGTCCCGTTGCACAGCTTTGCCTAAGTCCCAGGATAATATTCTCAATTTCCCTATCATCAGCATCCAGCAAAGCCATGGAGTCAGATACAGAATTAACAGTTTAATTTATGGAATTGGATTTATGGACTTTTGCCACACACAATAAAATGGATGTACCAGTTCAGAAAACTAGCAATGGTTTTGTAAAACTATCTATGTTAATTCAACAATGTAGTTTAATACATTGTGTGATTTTCATGAAATACTTCACACTGGCAGAATCTACTGGTAGTTGCCAAACTAGGGGGGGGGGGGGGGGGGGTTGAAACAAAATAAAATAAACCATTTCTAAACAATTAAACCTTTATTTGTATTTTGTAAAAAAATCCATAGAAAAATCTCACACATAAATAACTGACATAATAATTTATTTGTACCCGATACGTTAATTACATAAAAACAGTCTGAATTAAAAAATATCGATATCAGTCTCTTCAAGTCTTTTTCTGCTCCAAACGCTGGAATTCCTCAAGTAGTGCTTCGTCCTCGAAATACGGGAACGATTCTGTAATAGAAAAATGTATCAGAGAAAGACCTTATTTAGTAAATGTCATGCCCAAAAGTGGACTTTTGTGGGTTACTAATTATAATAAAAACGAGTTCTTGCTCTCTTTGCTTAGATATTTCAATGATAATAATGACCACTCAATTAAGAAGCTATGCACAAAGTTTTCTTGTGCGATAGATTCTATAAAGAGGTTATCCGCAGTAGAACCAGAGTAACCGACATGTAGTGGCAGTAGGCAGACAATATAGCTCGAAAAACCGAAACCGATGAGGAAAAAAGGTTACAAGTGGCTGCCTCGTAGCCGTTACCGGACGCCACTTCAATCGAGCTGAATACTTGACGGTAAACTGGATCGTGTACATAAATGGCATCCATTACGTTAGAATTTAGAATGACAAAGGAAATCCCAGTCCATCTGATGACTAGGGTTGCCAACTTTAAAGTATTGTTACGAGCTTGGAGTTCGAGACAGTTAAAAACTACCGAGTTAATTACCAAAATTTACACTAATTACAGAACACTAATTACAACTTAAAACCCGACTAATAACAAAACACAATTGTACTACTGATCACTTTTGTTCGCAGTTGTACCGCTTCGAAGTATTCGCTTGTATCGCCAATTCAATACTGCCCCGGTCGTGGTCTATACCGGCCTTATATAGGGCCTCATATAATTTCCAGAAGCTTCTACTGTAGAAACATTTAGAATGTTCGAGTACATACCGGTCCCGACTGACAAGGTGTCGATAGTTCTGGAAAGTTCTTCTATGGAAAATTCCAGAAGGATCTTGACTCTCCTAGTTCTGCTACTCGATACTAGAGGGCGCTAGTGGTAACTAGTATTGCCATGTACCAGGCATTAATGGTGGCGCTCAACAGTGTGTTTTGTAAAGTAAAAAAATACAATACAACGCAGCGTGAAACTTATCCGTCAGTTACGTACTTTGTAGCCTGCCTCGTTGGTTTAGTGACCGTAACTGCGATTGCTGGTTATGAGATCTCGGGTCGGGCCGAAATCAGTTATTGGGTTTTTCTGTCGAGATATTCTCAGCAGCAACCTGGAGTCAGGAAGTTGGCAGTGTTTCACCCCCGTGCCTCGGAAAGCACGTACAGCCGTTGGCCCTGCGCCTGACCTCTCTCCGGTTGTGTCGGATTGTCGTCTAAACGTACTATGAGAGTGAGGCAATAGAGAGTGCACCTGTGCTTGCACATACTCTGGTGCACTATAATCTTGTCCTGCGTAGATGGCTAATCTATGTTAAGACTGGCCGCCGTGACCGAAATTCGGTCTGGAGGACATTATATGATGTTATTATATAGTGTTGATATTACCTTTACTGCCCCTCTCTAGTTTCACTTTCCCCAAGACAACCTTCTTATCATCGTCTTCGGCCTTTACTTCCGCTCCACCGAATGTAGCCTGCAAAAAATTATGCAATAGTAGTTACCGATGAGCAATACAAAAAAATGCATGATCAAAGAAAAGCAGGAGTGGGAAAAGTATAAGAGATCATAATCCGGTTTTCAATCCTGCCAAGTCTTTATGGTAGAGATGGTAGAGGCCAACGTCCAGTAGAGGGTAACTACACAGTACACAATAAAAAAATGATTATTTGGATATGGAGGGCATCCAAGACTTTTTCTGCCACCAGGGCGGCGCTAGTTAGGAATGAGGTGAAAAATTTCACTATATAATGTGAATATTGCCCTATCTTCATTTAATATAAAGTTATTAACATTTTAAGAAACAACTATTTTTATAAGCACTACATGTTCAGCGATATGGGTTTTCTTGATATATCAAGCAACGCGGATGAAGTCGCGGGTATAAGCTAGTAATTAAATAAAGTAAAAAATGTGTAAGAAAATTAAAGAATACAACACTAAGGCATCGTTTTGTATACAATAAAGATACACTAGAATCCGAAAAACTTATAATTAAATCGCAACTTTTCAATAATGATGACATTGTGTGACCATCTGCATAACAAATAAGTTCACCTCAGTCGCAACTAGCGACATCTGGTGAGCGTAAGATTATTAGCCATCATTGCAATTTACCCCTCCTAGCACGTAGGAAACGTCCAAAAGTTTTCCGCCCTGTCATGTGCCTTATTTAGTACCCACGGATAAGGGTTTTTTTTTCACTTATTATAAGCCAGTGCTTGACCACAATCTCACCTGGTGGTAGGTAAGTGGTGATGTAGGCCTCGATGGTAAATCGCACTGTTTTAGCGTAACAACAGCCTTGATTCCCTTATATGTCGACTATATCAATAATTGAGTACAAGTCGCGGCACGTCAGTCTAGCGCTGAACGAAACACGAGAGCGAAACGCGTACGAATTGAATTGCACGAATGCGACTGGAGAGCCAATCAGCGCGTGCAAACGATACGCACGAGTCAATCAGCGCAACTTATGCGCAATACGGTCACCGCTAGACTTTCGTGCCACTACTTATACCGCGTTGTTATAAAGTGTCCAACGGATAAATAACCTTTTAATAACAGGTAAAAGCCGATTTTAAAAAACTAAAAAAAATTCTGATGTCGGGACTTTAATTCTCTAGAACACAACATTATGTCTGAGCACCGACATCAAAATGTGAAATTATTATATTCTTTTTAGATTTTTTGAAGGAGGCTACTTTATATTAGAAGTTATTTTTTACCACTTTGAAAGGACTACGAAATATCACAATCTCAATGTTATCTAAACGGTTACATTAAAAACGCGTTACATATAAAAATATACAGTCTAATTGTAAATCTTATTTTTTAGGGTTCCGTACCCAAAGGGTACCAACGGGACCCTATTACTGAGCTTTCGATGTCCGTCCGTCTGTCTGTCAGCGGGCTGTATCTCATGATCCGTAATAGGTAGACAGTTGAAATTTTCATAGAATGTATATTTCTATTGCCGCTATAACAACAAATAATAAAATTAAATTAAAAAGTGCTCCCCTACTAGATACGTGTATTACAATGGCACGGAACCCTTCATGCGGGAATCCGACTCGCACTTGGCCGATTATTTTATTTTAAATTCGTCACAAAAATTTCTTAGTCCACTCAAAAGGGTCAAAAATAAACTTTTAATTAAAAGTAAAACCTGACTTCAAACAACATAAAAGAATAAAATAATTTTCACATAACAGCTTCTGAATTCTGATCTTCAATTATTCGATAAACAATGTCTAAGTACCGACCATGAAGCAAATACAAAGAGGAGACGGCATAAGCAACTGTGCACTGTGATTCTAAGTAGGTCCTGACGTCATCATAGCGGGCGTGGCTTTAATTAGTATATTATCAGCATTCGTCTTGTTCGCTTATGTGTTGAAAATCGCAAATCAGTGTATTTTCGTAGTATTAAGAAGAAAATTATGAAGTGTTGTGTTTTATCGTATAAAAACTACTCATATAGATGCTCTAATGCTATGGATGGCATCACATTTCATTTGTAACTAATTTTACACCTAATTTATTAAAATAGTTCTAGAAAAATCTCTTTGCGTCGCCTTTCAAATATAATTAAATATATTCGACACTAGAGGGCGACACTTTTCGTCATGTGAACTAAAATATAAAGGTACGTAGAGCTCAGTATTGGTAAAATAATTATACGAAGGTGCTGAAATTTGTTTTCTATTCAGACATAAAAAAAAAATTTAATCGCCAAAATATTATTTTTATAATTTATAATCATTTTGTGACCGGGCCGCCATCTACTGTCAAGGTAGCTAAACTACATTGCAACATCGATATGGAACGATTCGAGTAGTTTTACTATTTATTGGTAAATGTAGTATAAAGTGAGCGGGGCTTAACATCCCCTCACCCCGCAAATTGTCACGAGTTGTTGTATAGTGAAATCTAATTACAACACCTCCTCTTTGTATTTGCTTCATGGTACCGAATTCAGAAGAACTGGTAGAAATTATTATTAGAATATAAACTTTTATCCAAATATCACGTTTTCTTTACGCAGTGAACCCTACTACTCAAACGCAACCAAATGGTTTAGTTTACTTAAAATTTGTTTGATTAATACCTTAATAAATTCGGGAATCCCGTCTTGCAGGTGATACCAACTAAGGATGAATATGAAAGACACGAAGAAAATATTCGTAGAGATTCCTGCAACGAAAATTATGCAAAGTTAGAATTAAATTATAGTCAATATTTCTATTTCTAATATTTATTTATTTATTTAAAATCTTTATTGCACTTAAAATGTACAATTGGCGGACTTAATGCCTTTAGGCATTCTCTACCAGTCAATCACGAGCTAAGCAGAGAAACTTAGACAGGTGCCATTAAAAACATGAGAATATCTATATGTGAATGTAAATATAAAAATATGGTACGTATATTTTGTGAAATACAAAAATTATAACTACAAATAACCTAAATAATATACTCTATACCTGATACATAACATACTTAATTTTTAAATAATACATACATTTTAAGCATAATTACATATAAAAATTATACAAAAACAACTTAAATATATATAATACAATACACTTAAGCAGAAACATATTGTTGCGCGCCACTATTAATGTCTTGTACATGGCAACACTAGTTACACTAGCGCCCTCTAGTGTCGAGTTGCAGAACTAGGAGAGTCGAGATCCTTCCAGAAATTTCTGGACCGATATGCACTCGAACATTCTAGATGTCGCTACTTTTGGTAATTCACTCGGCAGTTTTTAATTATCTCGAACCCCAAGGTCGTAACAATATAATAAGAAAGTTAGTTGGTGAAAGAACAAAGGTACTGATCCAGTGACCATTCTTTTAAAGGCTGCAACCGAAGTCGGTTTCCTGATATGAGGAGGTAATTTATTCCATAACCTTATGGCCTCAGCGGCGAAAGACTGAGAAATAAATTTGGTACGGCGAGGAAAAACATAAGGTAGTTCCCTCGGAGGATCGCAGGTTACGATCGTGAGAAGAACCCAAATACTGAAACTTGCATTTCATGTATTGGGGAGTGCATGGATCATATAGGATTGAAAATAGCGTGTGAAGAATTCTGATGCATCTACGCTGATGGATAGGGAGCCATTTAAGCTTAGAACGATATAAGGATACATGATCGTATTTACGGAGGCCAAAAATACAAAACGGATGCAATTATTTAACAAATGATCCAATTTGCACAGAAGTACTTGACTCACATCAGGGTAACACACATCAGCATAATCAATGACCGGTAAAACAAGTGTTCGAACCAACATAGCCTTCGTCTCGGTTGGAAGAAAATTCTTGAAACGATAAAGGCCACGCAGAGTGATTGTCACTCTCCGGCTTATTTCAGCTACCTGAGATTTCCAATTTAAATTAGCATCAATAATTAACCCAAGGTATTTAACTACATATCTAAGAGGAATATTTGTGCTATTGTAAACAATACCGAAGAATACCGAGAATTATGGCTTGACATTTAGCAGGATTGACAGCAATTCCATAACATGTGCATCAGTCACAGATAACCTGAAGATCTAGATTTAAAATTTTGATCGCAGAGTTAATCTCTGCTGGATCAATCCGAGCGTACAGCTGTAAATCGTCAACATACAGATGGATTTTGACATTTACAGTTATTAAATAATAAAGGAGAAAGAATACCGCCTTGCGGAACACCAGTAGCAAGATCAGACCAATCAGAGAAAGACTGTTGATTGACTTTAACTCTGCTGGCGACCACGAAGATAAGTTGATAACCAATCCAAAACTGACCAATAGAAACCCATGTATTTACAGACAGCAAGAAAAATGTCATGATCGACTGTACAGAAAGCATTAGAGAAGTTAATTAATACGAGAACTGCTAATTTTGACTCCTCCATACCCTCTCATACGTCGTCGAGAACTTTAAGGAGAGCTGTGGTGGTACTATGTCCAAGACGAAAGCCAACGTGTAAGGGACTAAGAAGTTTATTTTTATATATGTAGCTTGATAGCTGTTTGTGTGTAGTTGAATCTAAAATCTTTGAAGGAAAGGGGAGTATAGAAATTGGTAGAAAATTTTTAACAGAACTGGAATTATCTAACTTGGGAAGAGGAAGGACAAATACTTTACGCCAAAAAGATGGAAAAACTCCAGTAGAAAAAGAAAAATACATGATGTGGGTAATGATTGGGAGAATGTTATCAATTATGGGAATAATTATATTTCTACTCACATCATCATAGCCAGCTATAAGCTAATCACGAGGGAGATATACGAGTCAATTTAGAAAAGCCCTGAATGTCTTGTTTTGAACGTGGTAGAGTCATGCTACAGCTATATTACGGTTGTAGCACGAAGGGGTCGGCTCAAGCGGGGAAGGACCACGCTCTCACAGAACACCAGCGTGAAATAGCAGCTTAACACTGCTGTGTTTCGTATGGTGGGAGTAGAGAATCGGAGACCCTTTTCACTTAAAACGACAACGCATCTGCTTTGTGATTCTTAATTGATGGATCTTAGGTGATGATCTGATTATTCGTTTGTCACCCTTATTATAAAAATTTTAAAGTATTCATCATCATCATTACATACTATCACAAATACCCTGCTGGACCTCCCCCAAGGAATGCCACAAAGCGCGGTCCCAAGCCATCTGCATCCATCGATTTCTTGCATATCTTATCAAGTCGTCACTCCATCTAGCATCGGCCGCTCTACACTTAGCTTACCAAAAGTCATGAGATATTTCTGGCCTTTTTGGTATCTCTTAGGACACCACGAGACGAAATGAGGTGCTGGTAACGACAAACATAGGAGTCGTTTTATTTCAATCATCAGTCCGCCTCATAAGAGTGAAGATTTCCCTTCTCTCTTCTGTTGTAAAGCTCCATTTCTAAATGAAGACTATTGACGGGCTAATGAACAAAAAGAAAAGCCCGTATTAAAATGATGATGTACCTCTACCCGTGTAGTGGCAGTCTAAGAATATCCACTACCCCGTATCATCCCGTGGGTGTCGTAAAAGGCAACAGAGGGAATAAATGAGGAGATAGGCAGCAGTTTCTTTCTAATAACGACTAAAAATAACAAACTACAGATGCCCATCCGCTTGCCAAGCGTGGCACTATGGCAAATATCCCCCTATGAGGTAATCTATAAGGGAGTCCTATATTCAGCAGTGGACTTTAGTAGCCTTGTAACGGTAACGGTAAAATTATAATGAAATACATTCTATTTGCGACAATATAGTGCGTCCTGCTAACTGACGGACGAAGCTCGAAGCAAGCGATGTTGTAAAACCAAATCAACAACCCATAACCACGCAAGCAAAAACTGAAGTCTGGTGATTTGGAACAGTATCACCAGTGTATCGACTTAACCAACCCATCTGTTCACCAGTGGACTTAAATAGGTTTGGAACAAGAAGACAATGATACCACATATACATACAATACCACTCACCAACGAGCGCTGAAATACGCGGCCAGTAATACATCACATACCGCAGCCCAGAGAAATGCGCCTGTATGTGCAGCTCGCAGCTATACGTTTGTGCAAAACGCGACTGGAGTTCCACATACGCGTCTGTGACTGGTAATTCCTGGTAAAAAATATCACAAGTAGTAGCCTTGTGTAGTGAACAGTGGACGAAAAGAAACTACTTCTTTACAATGTACTAGAAAACACGTTTCCTGACACTGTTTGTTATTGGGTATTTTGACAGTCTTTCGCAAGTAGCAAGGCGCAAGCTCAAACGAGTTTTAAGGGAATACTAAGAGTAGAAAATTCAAATTATGTAGAAATTAATTAATGATGGTGAACTATCTAATTTCATTCACTCATCCATTACAGCCTATATAATGGGGGGGAAGGATTTTGACATATTTGCCACGCTTGGTGGTCGCCTCTTACGACACCCTCGGGACGGAATGGGGTAGTGGATGTTCTTATACTAATACTAACTACCTAATTCGTCTGATAGCATATAATGAATATATTATATATACTGCAGAAATCCCGCAATATCAGTCCTTTCATTTTCGTTACACTTGTCATTATTTTATTCAATGCCTAAGAAGTAAGCACTAAGTTTATAGATTTAGAACTTGATGAAAAGTGGCTGGTGTTTTTATAAATCCAAAAGGCAACTGACTTACCGACTCAATCGATATAGTTAGTATAAGGTCATGCATAATTACTTGTCATGTGGTGGGAGCGTAAGAGAATTGTTCACCTCTTTTCGTCCCATGGGTCTGTGTGACTGGGCCGATAGGTGGCGGTAAAATCATCTTGTTTATGTCAGACGTAAAATGCTCAGACGAGGGACGGGCTAAGATTCAAAAGCTCACATCTGACACTGTGGTCGTTATTCTACCAGCCAAGCGTATGAGATATAAGAAAATGGCCCATGTCCAGCAGTTGACGTTTACGGACCGATAAATAAGAAAGAATAAAAAGTATTATTTTACATGATAAAACACTAAGCAACACAAAATTATTACTCTATACAAGGTTATTTTTCAAAGAGTATCCAAATCTTATATTTAAGTTCAAATATATAAATAATGATATACCGTTATAGCAGTTTTTGAAAATAGGAGTAAATAAGGCTTCTATTTTTATTTGAAGTTATCCCAAATTGAATGTGATTTAGGGGCAACAATTAAGCGTACAAGCGCTACTCTGTGTGCGATACAATTCACAACTTTTAGCCGACCGAGCGACCCTTACGTATGTGTGCGTGCGTAGTAAAATAATAGGCATTAGTTATGAATGAAAATCAGTTAAAATAATGCATAACACGCATTCTGAATTTAAAAGAAAAAGGACATAATATTTTAGTATAACTGTATAAACCAAACTTATAAAAACTTACCGAATCGTCTACAAAGTCGCTAAACAACTCGACTTGAATCTGCTGTTTCTCTTCTTCAAACCCGCTAAGTAACAAAGGGGCAAAGACCGTTGTCCTGATTAACTCATGTAATCGCGACCTGGTGGGAAATCTACATCACGAATATTGCCTGATATTGTTACACAGCATTTTTACACCAAACTTTTTTTTAACTTATTATAAGTTAATACCTTGTTACTACCCCACCTGGCGGTAAGCGGTAGTGAAGCCCAAATGGTAATTCAGACTTAAACTGTAAAAGACTAACTCTTGTCTTCAAGGCACCCAGATTTTAATCGGATGGAAAGACAGTTAAAAAAGTTGCAGCCTTAAATACTTCCCACTGCTGGGCACAGACCCCCTCTCATTTATGAGAGGGTTTTAGGGCAAGAAAAAGTCCGCCGGGCTGCCCCAATGCGTTTTGGCGAACTTCACAATGCCTTCGAAATTTCTTGTTTCTCAGGCATACAGGTTTCCTCATAATGTTTCCTTCACCGCCAAGACGTGGTAAATTAGCACTTAAAATTGCAATTGACAATTTCATTGGTGTCGGCGGGGATCGAACCCGGGCTGCTCGCGTACTGGGAAATTTACATCGAGCACTTAACCCCTGAGCTACAACGGCTCGGAAAGACAGAAGTCGGCAAATTATTCCAATACTTTGCATTACAAAAGACAAAGCAAACCGATTTTTTTGTTTATTTTTGTTTTTGGTCGACTGCGTGGAATCGATAACAAAGTGGAAACCCGCTGCATCTGCTTGTCCCGATAGTGGAAAGGGGAGAGAGAAATTAAATCACGTAACTTCTTCACACACTTGGAATTTATCATGTGAAACGTCTTGAAGACTCCCTTGTTTATGAGGAGTTTGGCTCATATTTTGCCTATGGGACTCATAGAGTCTAGATAGAAAGGTACCACGTTCTCGTTATTTCTGCTGATGACGTCAGTACGTCCACTGCTATGTTTCGATTTGAAGAGTTAGTGAGACGAGATCCAGGTAAAATAAACAAGCTACGAGACTTTCCACCATCCATAGTCCTTAAGTTGATTCCAGGTGTCCATGGGCTGCCATTTCTTACCACCAGACGAATGTTAGCCCTTTGCCATTTTGATACTATAAAAAATCTCCATTTATAATGGGAAACATCATCTAAAACTATCGAAAAGTGCCGTTGAAAATTCTTTCAAGGCTTGACAAGCAGCTTTAATTGTTTACGGATTAAGGAAAATGGATTTCAAGCGCAATCCCCGAAACATCTCGATTTCTTTCGCCATACACAACGATGAATATATTTTGTATTTAACCGACTTCGAAAAGGGAGGAGGTTCTATACGATACGTATATTTTTATCGATTTCTCGAAAAAGGCCGAACCGATTGAAATTAATAGAAGGGACGAAGTGTTTATTGTAACGATTTGGACATTTTACTTGTTACCTTGAGCTTGTGATATTGCTTAATCCACCCACAATTAATGATTAAAAAACCTTTAATAAAAAAAGCCGACGCAGAATAAAATAACGGTCAGGGCTTTAATACGTCGATACAATACATCTTAGCATCAACTTTAGAAGTTAAATTTATAATATAACTATTATTATACAATATTCATTACAATATAAATTTCCCTATGCATGTCGTGTTTTGCGACATTCGTAAGATTCGTTAATTGCATCGGCTCCAATTCATACCTACAGATCAATTTCTAGACCATTCTAGTCTGACTAATACTCCAACTACACTTGAAATTTACTACCAATGAAAAACTACTTAAATTGTTAATTACTTACAGCAACTTTAATCGAAATTCTGGCGAAAATAGATGCGTTTAGCACGAGCAATCTGTACAGGGGAATATTAATAAGGTTATTTTTTTACTTATTATATCTAATTAAAATCAGAGTAACCGACAAAGCCCAACGGATTAGTAAGCTGAAGTGGCAATGGGCCGGCCATATAGCTCGAAGAACCGACAACCGATGGGAAAGAATGGTTCTCGAGTGGCAGCCTCGTACTGGTAGGCGAATTGTAGCGCGGCCCGCAACTAGACGGAGTGACGAACTGCTAAGACATGCAGGAAGCCGATGGATGCAGGTGGCTCAGGACCGTGTTTTGTGGCATTCCTTGGGGGAGGCCATGTTCAGTAGTGGACTTGTAAACGGCTGTAATGATAAATGATAATGATATACCTAGTTTATCATGGTCACGTATACCTCAAAGCTTGAAAAGGAGGGTGTACAACCAGTGCGTGTTTTGCTTACACTGCCAGCCAAGCTCAAGGTCGCTCAGCAAGATATGGAGAGGGCTTTGCTTAGAGTTTCTCTGCGTATTACATTTCATAATGAAGATATCCGCAGTTGAACCAGAGTAAACCACATAGCTCAATGGACCAGTAAGCTGAAGTGATAATGCGCCGGTCATATAGCTTAAAACTGACAAGCGACGGTAAAGATAGGTTTTCAAGTGGTAGCCTCGTACGGGTAAACGAAGTGTAAGGTATCACCCCGTTGGATGGAGTGTCATTAGACATGCAGGAAGTCGATGGATGCAGTGCAGGTGAATCGACCATGTTTTGTAGCGTTCTTTCGAGGTGGCCTATGTTCAGTAGTGGACTTGTAAAGGCATGTAATGATGCTGATGATGATGGTGATATTTACTTTATGAATGCTACCAGACACTGTCCTTTTAAAAGTTTATAGTAATAATAATTATATGAGGAAGTATTACCTGTATCTAAGCATAGCCGATCTGCATGACGACGAGACAAACACACCTCCTTTTGCCCGCATCTGAGCGCACACCATGAACATGCCTATAAACAATCATTGTCTATAATATATATTTTTTTTAATTTACCGCCACACTAGGGTTCTCTCCTGTATAGTGAGGGCAGTTTACATATATAAATTTCACAAGGACAAAAATCCAGCATTTATTTAGGCCTTACAAATACTTATTCCGTGCGGAATTCGAATCCGCGATCCTAAGCGCTGCAACTCATTGCTAAGCCATTGCACCACATATAAAAAATGTATGCAGATTTACGCTTTCAAGGGGGCTTAAGTGTACAACATTACTTATCTACCACGTGCTCGGCAGTAAATAAAATACATCGTGAGGAAGCCTGCATGTCTGAAGTAGGTATAAAATATTTAGAGAATATGTAAATGTCAAGTCCGCCAACACGTGGGAGAGCTACGCTGCAGCTATATAACGGTTGTAACACGAATGGGTCAGCTCAACCGGGGTATGACCACGTTCCCATAGAATACCAACGTAAAATAGCAGCTTAATTGCATTTAACGTCGGTATTCGTATGGTGAGTGCAGAGAACCGGAGGCCCTTTTTACTGGAAACGAGGCATTCCATCTCAGCCCGCAGGGGTGACGACGCATATTTATTTTGATTCTATGTAGATGATTATGCGCCACAGCACCCACTTTCCATCAGGTGTACTGTGTGCTCGTTTGTGACCCTTAATCTATAAAAAATACCGCGTTGGAGCATCGCCGCGGACTAATACTCCACAACCCTCTTAGAAATTAATTTAGACTTGTAGCCAATATTGGATCAATTATTAAGTGGCGAAGCTTGCGAAGTCACATTGATTTCACGATGTCTGTCCGTCTGTCCCACGATTATCTCGAGAACGGTTTCGAATTTTCAAATTCTGTTTTCAGCAATCGATTACTGATCACCCAGGCATCTGAACCTCCTATTTTGAAACTGATTGCTCAACGGCAACCGTTAGAAACCGCTACAAAGCTGATTGCTTCGCCACTTTGCTATGCTGTTAGCTTGCTAGGTTTATTGATTTCACGATGTCTGTCCGTCTGTCCGTCTGTCCCACGATTATCTCGAGAACGGTTTTGAATTTTCAAATTCTGTTTTCAGCAATCGATTACTGATCACCCAGGCATCTGAACGTCCTATTTTGAAACTGATTGCTCAACTGCAACCGTAAGAAACCGCTACAAAGCTGATTGCTTCGCCACTTTGCTATGCTATTAGCTTGCTAGGTTTATTAGCTACAACTTTACGAGCGTGGCGATGAAGGTAAATCAAATACAACAGAAACTACATTAGGTGGCTCATGATGAAGATGATAAAAACTATTGCGCTCGCCTAACGCTGTGGGACAAATGGGATTGTTTTTCGTTTGCTTTTTATTAACATTTCTACATATTGTTGACTACAACACCTATCGGTACGTAGAAATCAGCGCGAGATTTCAATAATCGGAGCACAACAGGGGCTGCAGGAATGTGCAGTTTTTGATAAGACTGATAACGCACAATCATTTTTAAAGATTAAAACTGAGATAAGAATATACAAGTTCGTATCGGAAATATTAATTTACGAGTATGCAAGCAAAAAGAAATTAACAAGCATTAATTTCAGTAGCTATTTGATCATTTTTTTACAAGCATTCATCAGCTCAAATTCCCGTCTTTGAATTCAAGTCATATTTCAATTTTCGCTGGTGTCACTGCAATTGTTAATATCAATAATAACTGAGCATGAACCTGCATTTCTAACACAAAATTGAAAATATTTCAAAGGTTCCACAAAGGTAAAGTTACAGTCTATACAATTGGTAAAAAAAGAACCTATCCGCTTTGTTAGGGTGCTATTTAGTGTGACAATACAGTGGGGAAGCACTTGCTGTTTTTCTCAAAGTCTCGAATGCCTTGGTCAGGATTTTTCACGCTATCCTTTTAGGCAAGCTTGCAGTGTATAGCTTATCCACTGGCTTGATTCACTCGGTGAAGTGTTAGTGAACGATTTCGTGTTGTCGTCGTTGCCTGCTCGTCCGATCTTATGTCGACTAACGCCGTAGTTCGCCCGCAACTCTCTTTATTTGAAACGGTTAAACCAATTACATTAATTAAAGACATCATATTAATTCTTCACGCTCACAAAACTTCAGGCATTCAGACAATATTATCGTCCATTCATCTGCAAACAGGTCGCACTCTGGATTTGTGTCCAGGAGAGCATCAAGTGCGGTGAGGACGCGGGGAACAGGCGAATTGCGCGCGCAACGGTGCGTGTCCATGGTACGGCAAAAAATGTATGCTAGCTCTTTCTGCTGCATATTAATTATATGCTTATGCCCGGTATCTATCGGCATGCAGACCAACGAGTTGCCGGGCCAGTCGAGATCAAATCCAGTCCGAAATAGAAGCTACGGTTGAGCGAGTGAACGTCACAGTACAGTCAGTAAATGGAGCGATGACAATCTTGTGAAGTTCAACGCCCGCAAAACACTAGCGTGTCTCTTCAATGCAAAAAGGAATCAGCTCACCTTGGTTCCTTCTTTCCGCAATGTATCACTGGAGTACACTTATAAATGTCTACGTGACAGAGCCACGCTGTAGGTATATTATGGTTGTAGCATGAATGGGTCGGCTCGACCAGGGAAGGACCACGCTCTCACAGAATACCAGCGTAAAATAGCAGCTTAACGCGGCTGTGTTTCGTGTAATGAGTGTAGAGAACCGGAGACCCCTTTTTACTGAAAAGGTGGCATTCCATCTTAGTCCTCCGTGGTGATAAAGCATCTGCATTTTCTGCATCTGCCTTCAGTTGTTGGGGGTTGAGATTTCCTCGAACCTAAAAGTCTGAAGTTTCATTGAATTTAAGGCCAAAACATCTGCAAAAAAGTTTGGAGTTCTTGCAAAGGTACGGCGGCACCTCACGCCGGGCCATCTGCTTACTCTATATAAAACGCGAGTCTGATCGTGCGTGCCGTATTACTGCCGTATATGAGCTGGTCCTGCACAATGCGACTAAGCAGCTATGGACTCAGTGGAAAGATGTACTAAGGGGCTTGGTGACCCGAATCTGGTTAAAACCAATCTCAATAGCCTCGAACACAGGCGCAGAGTAGTCAGTTTTCTAACTTTCAGTTTTCTAACAAGATACTCGTACATTTTGGAAGGTTGTGTGCAGGGATTGCATAAAATAATTCCTTCCTCTCCCTTACACCATCGGACAACCAAACGCTTCGCCTGTCTCCACCGTTTCGTTGACACATTCAAACCAAACGGTTTGCTTCATATTTGTCATGTCATGTATAAGCAAAGGAGTGGAATAAGTTGCCAGCATCTATCTCTCCATCCGATTACAATGTGGGTGTCTTCAAGGCAAGAGTGAATAGGCTTTTGTTAAGCAAGCCAGTGCTCTTTATCACCTTCGGTTCCATCACTACTTACAACCAGGTAGGATAGTAGTGAAGCACTGGCATAGATAATTAAAAAAAAAATACATGCGGCGCAGACGGCCGCCGGATAAAAATATCTAGAGGTCATGGCTTTGACCTTTATTTGCCCCTGTCTTCACTTATCAGTTCATATGTAACAATAATTTAAAATTATGCTGCATAATAATTGCAGTTTCTTCAGATTCAGTCACGAATGTCGGTGTTGCCAGATTTTAAAAGTTTGCCAAATTTTCAGCAAATTGTAGTAATAAAACATTAGATAATTTTAAATTTTTAAATAGCAATAACATTTTTATATCATCATAAAGTCATTGTAATATTCTATGTGCCCCTGTCGCATCGGATAGGGCATTTTCTATATATAGCATATTTTGCAGTATTAGGCACATGCCACATAATAGCATTGCCGGTAGCTCACTCTATAGCTGCGTTGGTTTGTTTTTTATGATACACTTTGTATGCGGTAGAGCCATGCTGCAGCTATATTAGTAGTATAGTTTTAGCATGAATGGGTCAGCTCGACCAGGGAAGGACCACGCTTTTACAAAATACCACCGCAAAATAGCAGCTTAACGCTGCTGTGTTTCATATGGTGAGTGTAGAGAACCGGAGACCCTTTTTACTGGAAAGGAGGCATTTCATCTTAATCCTCACGGGTGGCAGCGCATCTGCATTTTGATATATAATTGAGAATAAATGTAGATGTCTATGGGCCACAGTATCCATTTGCCATCAGGTGGACTGTGTGCTAGTTTGTCACCCCTAACATAAAAAAAAGGAGTCATTCCACTTGCTTATCGCGCATTATCGTAACATAAATTCATTTTGGATTTAAACTTAGAATGCTAGAGATATGAAATATAAGAAGGAGAAACGTACCTAAATCCTTATTCACCTGCGACTCAGGCATGTCCAAAAGCAGTTTTATTCGATACAGCTGCCCTGGCATAAGCAGATTGTTCCACCGTGTGAGCTGAACGTGAGCTGACGGAAAGGAGCAGACACCCATGTTTTCTTCGCATGATCTAGAAAAAATTACTATGACAGAATATACTGGCAATTATACTTCTTAAAACTAGAAATTATTGATAATAAAGTGTTTAAAGTTAGGATCAATTCAGATCAAAATAGCTTAAATTGTACATATATATTATAGTTCTTCCAGTTATACCCGAAACATTATCTAAGCTAGCACTTCTTCACATTTTGATTTTGAATATAACGCGTAAATAATAAAAACTAAAACAGGCTCATGTGCAGTGTTACAAAAGTAAACACATTAACATTAACTTTTATCCTGTGGTTGACACGAGAAGGCACACATACATATGTTTTCACCTTGGAGATGGTGAAAAAAGAAAGCCACTTTAGTTTTTTGTAAAATTCCAATGTCCTAGAAAATGCCAAAAAGTTTAGTTGGTATATCAATCTTGTTTATGCCAGACATAAATTAACCCAGACCAGTGATGGGAAGCAGCAGCAGCATGAAAAGTCCTAGAAGTGGTACTGCAATCATCATTCAGCCTGCAAAGCCAAAGAGGCAAATTGTGCCTACAGTGGGATAGGCCGACATCCAGTGGCCTGATGATGATCAATATGAGATGATGAAGAAATAGAAGGAGAATGAATTTTACTTAAATGGATACTTAGATTTTAAAAATAAAATTAGAGTTATTTCGATTAGCAAAAATCCTGACTTTGAACATTAGTCTTTTGTAGTTTGCGAGCAATGAACGAATAGGAAACGTATCTTAGCATTGTACTAGAAGAAACGTTTCCGAACGCCGATTGTTAATCGTTCTAACAGCTCTTTTCGTACACCTGAACTCCCAATACGGCAGACCACGAGTGTGAGCATGAACGTACGGGAGCAAGCTACATTTTTTACATGGTAGAGCCATGCTGCAGCTATATTACTGGTATAGTAGTAGCACGAATGAGTCGGCTCGACCAAAGAAGGACCACGCTCTCACAGAGTACCAGCGTAAAATGGCAGCTTGACACTGCTGTGTTTCATATAGTGAGTGTAGAGAACCAGAGACACATTTTACTGGAGAAGAGGCATTCCATCTTAGTCCTCACGGGTGACAACGCATCTGCATTTTGATTCGCAAAGGTTAGGTTTGAGGTTAGATGTAGATGTCTATGGGCCACAGCAATCACTTACCAGCAGGTGGACTGTGTGCTTGTTTGTCACCCTATCCTATAAAAAAAGCGAATGAGAAAGTCGGCGAGTTGAGTATGTCATTTGGAAAAGAGCCGAAGAATGCCTATAATGGTACCATTGATCAAATCCGTAAAAATGAGATGTTATAGAAAGATACATGTTAGGTATATCAATGCAATAACGTCTAATTTAGCTTATCATCCAAATAGATGCTAAACACGCTGTTTGCAAATTATTTTATTTATTATACATAATAAATAGATACAAACAAACATTAGTCTAGAAAATGTTTGTTTGCACTTTTGTTTTGTTTCAGTACTATCGCATAATAATGTAATAAAATTGAAGTTATGTTACAACAAGCACACAACACAACACAACCTTCCAATATTGATAGTAATAACATATTGCAATAGATTGTTACAGGCCGATAAACAAACAAGTGCTAAAATTAAAGATTGTGTACAACCAACTTCAATATAAATAAAATGAAAACATCATCAATGTAATTGTAGTCAATTAAATATGTATTATTAAGGTTAACTCAAAATCTACTGGTCAGATCTTGATTAAATTTATATGGGGCCACATGAGAAACACCAGCTTTTAAATAAAAAAAGTCATTAAAATCGGTTCATTTAGAAAAAAGTTTTTAGGTAACATACCTTTAATATACATAAAAAAATACAGTCGAAATGAGTACCTCTTTCTTGTTTTGATGTCGGTTAAAAGATTGTAGTAGCAGGTCTTCTTATCTCATATCTTTTACTATTATAACTTAAATAATTTAATATATAAATGCTTTCACTACTTACCTGAACTGTAAATGCACTGGTCTTATATGTGTGACATTTGGCATATAAATATAGTAAAAAATTATATACATAAAAATAGAAATCCACATAATTGCTGACAAAAACACAGTTAATATGCATACTTTTAGCAACAGTTCTTTTACGCTATTGATGCCTTTGTTAGTTTTCTGCTTGTAATTCAAATATTGCTTGCCAAGAAAAGCTTCAATAGGAACACGTATAAAATCTTTAAAGAGTCTTAATGGACTTAAATACCCTAAAAAAAGATCCATCTCAACAGTATTGTAAATTTGTAAAATGTTAAAACTTTAAAGTTTGTGTTTAAAATTTCAACCTCTCGTCAGAGAGAAGCTAATTTTACTTTTATTTAATTAGTAATCTATGATCTATGAAGAACAGAGAACACTATTATTTGTAGCGGAGGGTAGTATCAAACCACAAATATCAAACTCCAACATATTAGATTTTGGCACAGTAGGTATAGAAGTAGTATTCCTTGATTCTCAGTTCAAAAGTCAATACAATACCTACGACTAGAATAAAGAAAATGAACGTACTAAGTAGATAATTTTTTTCTGTCAATAGGCTTAATAGATAAATTAATACTTTCAGATAACGATTGTTGTTGATAAAATAAAACATTATATAATATAGAGTAAGGAATTGTATTGTTTGTTTTTTTAGACAACAAATATTATAATAAAAATTATACGAGAAACATTTTTACTTTATGTACATACTTTATTTGAAAGTTTATATGTAAATAAATAGCTAAATAAAAAAGCTCAGCTAGCTAGATAAGTCAATATTTAATGGGTAGATAGTGCATATATAACTAATGGTAAATCCAATTGTAATAATAATAATAATAAATTATTTATTTCGGATAATTAAAAATCCATATGTGGGTTAGTAACACAAATAATAATAATAATAACAACAGTTAGTGTATGAAATCTGTCAGTTACTTTGTTTGTAATATTTAGTTTATTTTAATTTTACTAGATGTCGTTTTGTCCATAGCTAGTGTTATTTATATCGCGTTGTAAAGTTTGTTTCAAATAGTACATAAGGTTTATTTACATAATATACGATGCTTCTTGACTCCTACTGCTAATTGATAGCTGAGTTTCATTTCATGAACCCTATCTCCTAGTGGCTATTTTTTGGGATCTGTACATGGTCTTTCGATGTCGGATAGTGAGACATCAGTGGAGGTTGTGTCTGTATCCATAGCTGTGCCGACACGGTGGCCGATTGTCGTCGATAGTGCTCTGTGATCATTGCGCTAAGGTGATTGAGCTTGTGGTGTTAAGTATAGTGTAAAAAGAAAGGTGCACGCGTTACTAGGCGACTTGTGAGTGCGCAGAAGCCAATTATTGTAGTGAGTCAGTGTCTTCCGCTGTGCAACCACGCTGCGCTGTTAATGCGTGGTGTCTGAATTGGGAGCAGTTGCCAGTGGACGGGATCTTCATCGACACGCGACTCAGTGTCTTCCGCTGTGCAAACACGCTGCGCTGTTAGTGCGTGGTGTCTGAATTGGGAGCAGTTGCCAGTGGACGGGATCTTCATCGACACGCGACGCATATGGATACATTTCGATGACAAGGTGATGATAAATGAAGTGTTTCGTGATTCTAGTACTTTATATTTAGTAAAAATTGTTGGTAATTTTCTAAGTTAATTCATGTGTGTAGACTTCGAAAATGTTGTAGACTAAGAATGTTATTCTAGTATTAGACTTAGAATAATTCTCCAAAAGGTGATGTGACGGGGAACCTATGCCCAATTTCATAGAGAGGTACAATTTGTTCAAATACTTAGAAATTTTTGAATAAATATCTATTATAAGACTTAGAAAAATTTGCGTATTGATTTGAAGTTGTCAAATTTAAATTTCATTGTTTTTTAAAATAAAAGAATAATGGATATGTCAGCGTACGAATGTCTACAAATAGAAACTAGTTCTTTAATTGAAAAGGCTTATGTCAATTTTAAGAAAACTTCAAAGGATCGTATTACAGTGTTTTATATAGAAAGTAAATTAGAAAATTTAGAGGTTCAATGGAATTAATTTTGTGAAACTCATCGTACAATAATATTAAAGGTATTAAAGGAAGATTTAACTAAGTCTGAATATTACAAAAAGAAAGTTTACGACAAAACTGAAGAATGTTATATAGATTATAAGTCAATATTAAAACAAAAATTGTGTGAATGCGCTGACAAAAATCCTAAATCTACTTCTTCCGACGATAAAGTATCATCGAAAGTTTCAAGTTTTTTCAGGGGTTAGATTACCTAAAATTACTATACCTATTTTTAATGGGAATTATTCAGATTGGACTTCTTTTAAAGACTTATTTGTATGTTTAGTAGATAACTGTGAAACTCTTGATGATGTCCAGAAGTTACATTGCCTTGAGAGTCATCTATCGGGAGAAGCTGAACAAATTGTACGTCACATTCCTATTACGGGTAAGAATTATTCAGTTTGCTGGACTCAACTAAAAAGTAGATATGATAATAAAAAATATCTTTCAAACCACATATTATAACGGTTATTGAATCATAAAATTATTCAATTTGAATTTTCAAATGCGATCAAGGAACTATTAGACACTATAATAGAATGTTTAAACGGCTTGCAGAATTTAGGTATAGATATTAGCACTTGGGATATAATTATTGTTTACGTAATGAGCCAGAAACTTGATCATGAGTCCAGAAAACAATGGGAAGCTAAGTCAAGTGAATTAACTTCTGAGTTGCCTAAGTTGTCTTATTTTAAAGATTTTTTGGAACATAGGTTTCGATCATTGGAATTTTTAGATACTAAACCTTAAACGAGGCAATGTAAGGCAACAGTGTGTTATGCCAATGATAGTACGTCTAATAACAATAATTTATGTTGTTCATTTTGTAAAGGCAATCACAAATTATGCAATTGCAAGTTATTTTCCAAGGAAACTATAGAATCGCGACGGGACTATGCTCAAGCCAGGAGGTTATGCTATAATTGTTTAGGAGATAATCATTCTGTTTTTAATTGTAGACACTCTTCACGATGTCAAATTTGTAAGAGGAAGCATCATTCGTTGCTTCATTCTGTAAATAATCCCACGAATCGCAAGGAGAATACGGAGGCAGTTGGTATAAATGTTGTTGTTAATTTAACAACTGCCATTCATGAAAATCAGAAGGAATCAGAGCCAGAGTCAGTAGTCACATGTTTTTTAAGTAATCATAGTCAAGTGTTGTTAGCAACAGCATTAGTGAAAGCTGAATCACTTAAGGGTGTTGAGGTAACAATGCGATGTTTGTTGGATCAAGGGTCACAAGCTTCGTTTATTACGGAGTCAGCAGTTCAAGCACTTGGACTGCAGAAGGTTCCAACAAAAATCGTAGTTTCCGGAATAGGGGGTGAGGACAGTTCTTTGCTTAAGTCAAGGTTTATGGTGTTTATTAGGTTGCGTATTCACTCCACAATCCCACATTTTATGTAGAAGCAAAGGTACACGTCCTCAACAAACTTACGATACTTCAGCCCTTTAAGAAAGTTGTAGTTAAGATGTGGCCTGAAATAGGCAAACTTAAACTAGCAGATCCAAAATTTGGTGTCCCTAATAAAATTTATCTTTTACTTGGTGCAGAATTATTTGCTCAGATTTTAGAAGATGGTATAATCAAAGGTCCCACAGGATTACCTGTAGCACAGAATACTAGGCTGGGGTGGATCTTATCTGGTCAAATTAGCTCAACATGTATAGATAGTTTTGAGTCAAATCAATGTAACACCATCTTAAACTTTCATTTGCAAGTTGATGAAAATGAATTAGTGAAGAAGTTTTGGGAATTAGAAGCGGAAACAACTGCTAGTACCTGTAAAATAATTTACACTGAAGAGGAGCAAAAATGTGAAACTCTTTTTGCTAATACTACTAACCGAAATGATTCAGGTAGATATATTGTAAAGCTTCCTTTTCGTGATAAAGATCCGAAGTGCCAGTATGGCAACTCTAGGCTTATTGCTTTGCGACGACTTCACCTTTTAGAAAAAAGATTGGCAAGGAATTCAGATTTAAAAGAAAGATATTCTGCCGTTATTCGTGAATATATTGATCTTAACCATATGGAAATCATACCAGAGGAAGAAAGGGACAATGCTTGTGCGGTTTATTTGCCTCACCATGCCATCATTCGTGAGGATAAGTCTACAACAACGCTTAGAGTTGTTTTCGACGCTTCATGTCCTGGTACCAACGGAATTTCTCTTAATCACGATCTTATGGTTGGCCCTGTTCTTCAGCCCGAGTTACGACATTTAGTTATGCGTTGGCGCGTACGACCCATATGCCTAATAGCAGACATAGTTAAAATGTACAGACAAATAGAGGTTTCCAAAAGTGACAAACATTTTCAGCGTATTTTATGGCATGACGAAGAAGGTGAGTTACGCCATTATAGGCTACTACGTGTTACTTTTGGAACTGCGTCAGTGCCTTATCTTGCTGTACGTACTCTTCAGCAGTTAGCTTATGATGAGGGTAAGGAAATGATTTCAGCAGCTGAAAGAGTACTCCAGGACTTCTATATGGATGACCTGATGAGTGGTTGTGAAACAGTTGAAGAAGGTGTACAAGTGAACAAAGACCTTAATAAAATGATCCAAAAGGGAGGTTTTCAACTTCAAAGATGGGGAAGTAATAGTAGAGAATTATTAGAAAAAACTGGAGAAGTGGTTAAAAGTCAAAGTGGAAACATAGAACTAAATGTTGCAAAAGAAAATGAAAGTTTCACGAAGGTTTTAGAATTATATTGGAATATTGTAACTGACAATTTTGAGTATCGTGTTCAGTTACCACAAATTACAACTCCTGTTACAAAGAGAAAGGTTGTTTCAGATATTTCTAGGTTATTCGATCCATTAGGATGGATAGCACCAGTAGTAATTACTGCCAAAATCTTCATTCAGAAGATTTGGATGTCAGGTATTGAATGGGATCAAGAATTACCTTCTAATTTGTTACAGGAATGGCTTTATTTTAGGAGTAAACTTTTATTCATTACAGGCTTTAGTATTCCTAGATGGATATTCACTAATACGAAAGAACTTTTAGACCTACATGGGTTTTGCGATGCATCTAACCAAGCATACGCTGGAGTAGTATTTGCTCGAGTTGTAAAAGAAAACGGCGAAGTTCATATATGTTTGATAGCATCAAAAACTAAAGTGTCGTCAAACAAGTCTCCATACCACGTTTAGAATTGTGCGGAGCTGTTTTGCTTTCTAAGCTATTATATGAAGTGGCAAAGACTCTCTGATTACCACTCAATAGAGTACGAGCTTGGACGGACTTAACAG